TTCCTTTGAATCAACCGAGAGAGATACTATCTCTCAACGTGTCTAAGAACACAAGTACACTCAAGAACGAGACTCTCTTATAGAGTAGATTATGAGTAAACTAAGTACGCTCAAGAACAACTCAACCTTCACACACAAATGGCTCTAGAAAGCTATGGAAAATGATGATATTTGAATGCAATGAAAGTATAGATGTTGTGAAGTGAATTGGTGAGAAAAGCAGACCCAAACACCCCTTTTTATAGTGCCAAAGAAGGCTCCAACGGACCAATGCATTAAAGGGGTGATTGGCTTGATTTATGGGATTGAAAAGATTTGGGATCTGCAGAATATTGGCTTCCCATCGATGTTTAGACTCAACCATCGCTGGTAAGCCAATTTTCCTTCAGTTTTGAAGTCAACGGTCACCTACCCATCGATGGGTACAAGCTTCCCATCGCTGGGTGGGAGGTTGACTTCGAAACAAGGAAAGAATCAACCTTTAATGACCACCAACGGTCATGCCTTCCCATCGATGGTATACCCTTACCATCGCTGGGTTCCCATCGATGGGATAGGTTTCCCATCGCTGGGCAAGGTCGTTCTCGCTTGTGTTAATATTGCACCAAGGCTTTAACAACGATGGGTGGAACTCCCCATCGCTGTTTGGCATGGTTCTGGAAACTGGTTTGGCTGAGGGGCCGCTTACCCATCGATGGGAAGATCTTCCCATCGCTGGGTGGGTGGTTAGTCAAGAACCCATGGTTTTTGCCTTAACCACGGCCTAGCCAACCGATGCGAAACCCGACCGAAAAAATTCAAAGTTCTCCAAAAAAAAACCAAGTGTTTAAAACACTTATTTGACGTATTTGGCTAAGAAATTAAGTAAGACACTTTAAAAACCACATCATTTGAGTGAAAACCACGGCTAGCCAAGTTTATGCCGTTTTGAATGATTTTTGTCAAACGACCTAAAGCGAAAGATGGTTTTCAAGGTGTTTTTGTTGGAGAACCGTTTAAACATGCCAAAGAGTGAAAACCAATCATAAAAAGTTGAAAACCACTTGGTTGGTTTGGACGCCAAAAACCATAGCCGATAACCGAGAGCCGAACGTCGGTTTCTGAAACCCGAACGCCGGATGGCTTGGTTTTTGGTTTGGGCGAACACCAAGTGTTTTTAATGACTTAAACATGTTTGAAAAACATTTTTATGATTTAATAAATGCAATGAAGGATTTTAGCCTAAAGAGCCAAGGTGTAAAGATTGGGTCGGTCTTGATCACAATGAAGACCGACTCAACGACACTAAGACTAAGGTCTTCGTTCTTGGTCTTCTTTTATCTCTTGTTCTTGTCTTCCTTCTTCTCCTTGTATATTCAAAGTTTGACTTGATCACGGCGGTTTGGCATTATCAAAACCTGTCACAAAAACAAACACGGCTTTAGTACGAAAACGTGACATGCCCGTGTTTCAACAATTTCCCCCTTTTTGATAATGGAAAACGAGATGAGGTTATGTATATGAGGAAGACTTAGAGACTTAAAAAAATGTTCCCCTTAATAGATGCCATTTTATTTTAAAAAAAATTCCCCCTCAATTTTTTGCATAACCTTGATATCTTCCCCCTTTTGACATTAACAAAAAGAATTAAAGTAAACTTTAGAATTTAAAAGTGAACTTTTATTAAAATAAGGGAAAATGCAGAATACAACGGAATGGAAGTAAAAGAAATGCAATCATAGTAGGAAAAAGGAAAGAAAAGAAGAGTCTAGGCAACGGCGTCCTCGGCGTCATCGTCTTCGTTCTCGTCATCCTCGTCGTCCTCGACGTCCATGGGATCCCCGTCGACCGCGTCCTCAAAGTCGGCCTCGTCGGGGGAGGAAGACGGAGCATAGGAGTCATCCTCCTCGTCCTCGCCTTCATAATTCTGGCCGAGGATGGTGCTGTCAAAGGGCGGCGGGACGTAGTTGATGCCGCGGAAGAACGCTGTCATGTCATGGTGTTGACGTTGCAGCGTCCAATCCATCCGCTCGATTGACTGCCCCATGCCATCCACTGTGATGGTTAGCCGATTCAGAGTATCGGCTATGGATTGCAACGAGGCCCGGGCGGGAGCGGGGGCAGGGGGCACGGGGTGGTGCACGAGCACGACTTGGTCCGGCGCCGTCTTGGTCTCCGGACTTCTTCCGGAAGGTGCTATCTTGGATGATCCAAATCTTCGTCATCTTTGTATCCGGGCCGGCGATATGGATGTCGGCGGATACGATGAGGTCCATGACGAGAAAGGCGTATGGCAAGCTCCGCTCGTTGGTGATGGAGGCGCAATCCGCCATGTGAATCATGACGTATTTTGCCCAATTGATTGAGGCGCCATGGGTGATAGCATGAACGGCCTTGAGATCCTCGTTGAAGAGGCACGTGTGGCTGCTGTCCCGGGGGCGAAGAATCCGGGTGAGGATATAGAGTAGAAGACGCTTCTCCGGCGGGGCTGAGTGAATGGTTGGTGCGCCGCTGTGACGAACGAGGTTGGTGATTCCCAGCTCTCGGATGACCACCGCCTCGTTGTTGAGGATCCAATCATCGCCTCCATATGTTGCGATGTCGTCACCGCGGGTGGGCAGCCTTGCGACCCGAGTGAAGGTAGCCAAATCAATCTCTATGTCGTAGAGATTGATGCTACTGTGAATGGTGTCCCCGTCCCGGCGGAGATTTGAGTAGAAATCCCGGACGTAGGCGGGTTTGAAGGATTGACGGCTTCTGGAGACGAACGACCACAGACCCGACTCTTTGAGTTGATTGTCGAGGTCGTGGTACCCCTTTTGTTGAGGGTATAGCTCGGGCAGCACTCTTGGCGGAGAGATGGGGCGCTTGGCGAAGTGGGTGATGAAGCGTGTGAGTTCCTCTTCTGACCCGAACTCAAGAAACGAGCCGTCCAGGTATGGGAAGGGTTGAGACGCAGAGGTCGTAGCCTCGGCGGCAGTCTTCTTCTTGGAGGCCTTGCTCTTGGACTTTCCTCCGGCCATGATTGAAGCGTTTCTTACGAAAGATTGATGAAATTGGCTAAAGGAATGAAAAAGAGGTGTTAATTGTGTGTTAAGAATGGAAGGGATGATGTGAATATATAGGGAGAGGAAGATAAAACCGTGTGATTTCAAAAAATATGGTTGTTGGGCATTAAATTCGGTGCCCAACGACCATAATTTTTGAATTTCAACTGTCTTCCCATCGATGGTAAGGAAGTTCCCATCGATGGGAGAGTCGCTACTGGAAAGCGAGAAGAAGAACAAGGCTGCCTTCCCATCGATGGTCAAGCTCACCCATCGATGGGAGGGTGCCTACTGGAAATCCGTTAAGACGTTTTTTTAAAAAAAGTGTCAAACACCCAGCGATGGGAGAAAGTTCCCATCGATGGGATGGGAGGTTCTGAAAATTTTAACAAAAGTCCTTCACCCAGCGATGGGATGAAATACCCATCGATGGGTAAGGTGTTTCTGGAAAACCGTTAAGTATTTTTTAAAAAAAGAGTCAATTACCCATCGATGGGAAGAAGCACCCATCGATGGGAAGAGGGGTTCTGAAAAAAAATAACACTTCCCTCCCAGCGATGGTACAATCCACCCATCGCTGGTTCCCCATAATTTCCAGAATTCTTCACTTCGAACCGTCCCTGCAAAAAAGAGTTAGAAAACCCTCCGACGCTCAAGTTAGTAAACGTTCCAGTAACAATAAAAGAATGATAAAATGCACAAATTAGATCATCGTGGAGTCAAGGATTCCGAGTTCACTACGAATGCGGAAGAACGACTCTTTCTCTAAAGGTTTTGTGAAAATGTCGGCTAATTGGTTGTGTGTTTCAACAAACCCAATTTCGACATCACCTTTGAGAACATGATCTCTAATGAAATGGTGCCTAATGTCAATGTGTTTCGTTCTTGAATGAAGAACGGGGTTCTTCGTCAAGCTTATGGCGCTAGTATTGTCACAACGAAGAGGAACGTGACTGATACTAAGGCCATAGTCCACGAGTTGTTGCTTCATCCAAAGGATTTGAGCACAACAACTACCGGCGGCAACGTATTCCGCTTCGGTTGTGGATAACGCAACACTGACCTGTTTCTTGCTAAACCATGAAACTAAAGAACTACCAAGTAAGTGGCAAGTCCCACTCGTACTTTTACGGTCCAATTTGCAACCGGCAAAGTCCGAGTCGGAGTAACCAACAAGAAGACACGAAGAGCCTTTAGGATACCACAGTCCAACGTTAACCGTGCCTACAAGGTATTTCATGATCCGTTTCACCGCCGTTAAGTGCGATTCCTTCGGGC